TTTAATTTACTTTAATGTGGATTTCTATTTTTAAAATTTTTTTTAGTATCTATCAAAACAATTTTTTTTTTAAATATAAAATTTATGTATTTCGCATGATTTTTTCAATTTTATATACAATTTAAGAATGCAGATATTTTTTTAAAAATGAAAATTTCTTGAATATTTTAATATGGTGTATTTAAGCTCAACTTTATATATTGTCTATCAAATAAKCATAGCACGCATTCTACTCAAATAAACACTTTTAAACACCATTGATGACATTTACATTTATCAAACAATGTCATTTTTCCTTAAAATTTATGAAATATTCGGAGTACCTATGCATTTAAAATTTTTAATCTYAACAGCTATAGTGTATTATATCCCWGATTTCTAGGTTGTTCTACTGTAAATCGAGAGCATACATAATAATATGTAACTCTAATACATTCCAAGTCCTATTTAACATATCTACWTACTACATTACTATTTTCATACATTTATAATTTGTAGATTATAATGCCTGATTGGAGGGAGGTGAGTGAGAGAGAATTTTCCTAAAAACTAAAGGGAAACTAAAGAACAATTGACTAAAAATATTTATGGTTTTTTACTGTGGAAACAGTTGGACAGGTCTTGGTCTGTTATAAATTTCTATATAAGCCATTTCCCCTCGCAATGTATATATATTTTGGATCCATTCAATAAAATGTTAATCTAGAAGACAAGAAAAAKCACAAAGTTTTTATCAGATAAATTCTAAAAAAAAGTTTCCAATTAATTTTTTGGTTTTTATTGAATGAAGCGTGAGAATGTGGAATACACTACCTAAAAAAAATTTTGATTTCAGTATGGAATTTCACCAGAAGAACGATTGGYGGTGATATTGATGTAAGTGCTATTTAAATATCTTTCTTGCTAACCTATTTAAATAGGAAATTTAYACCTTAGTAATTATATTATATAATATATTGATTTACATACTGTATAGGTAGACATTAACATATTAATTGCCAATCAATTATTTGTTCTTAATAACTAGGTGGGACAGACTAAATTTTGGTAGAATTAGGTAATTATAACATTTAATGGGTTTAACTCAGTAAGATTTTTACCAGTCCAAATCCTGGGGTAGAAGTTTAAATCTCTGTGGGGCAGCACTTATTAATCTGAAGTCTGAACAATGACTTATGCTGTTTCAATTGATAAAGATACCATTTTCTAATTTTTTTTTTTTATGCAATCTGAAGTTTMTTTAAGTGTTTATAACACTGGTAAAATCATAATACATTTTGATATACTTTCTAGTTTTTCACGGTTTTTAAGAGTAAATTTAGTGCGTATGGCACAGAGCGACGAAATATCACTAGCTATTTGAAATATAGTTCTATACATGATATAAAAAGCTGATGAAGTTTATTATATCATGGTTATATATATGTATAAGGTTTAGGTACTAGAGGAGAAGCAATGCTTTCCAGAGAAGAAATATAACAACACAGTTACTCTTCTCATACCACTTTAAAAAAAAATAATGTTTTTTACCTATGATGTGGTTGTGTAACATGAACACATAGATAAACAAAAGATATGAACGAAAAAAATCCTAAAATACTATCGCAAGTTACTGAAACTATGAAACTTAGACAAATTTTACTTCATGCAAAAAAATATGCACAAATGATATGRAATTAAAAATTATGGTAACTTAATTATTTAAATACTTAAGCTCAGATCTCATAAAAATGGCTACAATGATTAAATATTTTTTTTAATATAGGTAATTTCTCATATTATGTTCTCTAATTCTATTTATAATAAATTTGAATAAATACCCTGTAATCACTAAAGTATTTATAAAAATATAATTCCAAGTTGTAACTAATATAATAATACAGTTTAATATTACTAAATAAGTAACATAAGAAAATTAACCATGTGTTTATAGTTTTAATATAAAAACATAAATTTCAATTAACTCTAAACAGATCAAATATTTTATACATCAAACTATCACAACCCTGTTTGATTATATAGATAAAATATAAATATATAATGTGTAATATTTTTTTAACAACAAAACTATTTGTAACGAGTTTAAATGCAAACAATATAATATTATAAATATATATATACATAAAAAGTACAATTATATTTAAAATGCAAAGAATATTTTGTAATTAAAACCTTAAATATAAAAAGATAAATAATAAGTTAAAATAAATACAACTATTTAAACTTGAGATACAAGTTTATTTATTCTTTGATCTTTTAGCCATCATAATTTATGATCATATACTGGATGCTGAGTATCCTTTTCAACTCAAGATGATAAGCAACAATGACTTGAATTTKTTAAACCTAAAATATAATAAATAAAATTTCATAAAATATAGTTTTAATTTTCTAAAATATTTGTAAATTGTGTTTGGTTTCTTCAATTAAAAAAAAAAAAAACATTTTTTGAAATTCCAACACCAAACTGTTTTATATGATATTTGATACAAGCAAACTAAAACTATCTAAAAACATTTATGTAGCTATTTTGATATACTTAAACAAAGTTCAAATTGTATGTTTCATTT